TACACACATACATACATACATACATACATACATACATACATACATACATACATACATACATACATACATACATACATACATACATACATACATACATACACACACAACATCGTCCCCAGACCATCTACAGGCTAGATATATATATTCCAGACAAAACCAGACCAGACGAGACTGGCAGGCAGGCAGGCATCCAGGCAGCCGCTCGCGTCATGAGGCTTGGGCACGACTCTGGGGCCGAGGCTTCCAAGGGAAATCAGATCAGACGAGAGGGCGGGTGGTCGGTCCCGGGAGCAGCAGATGACCTGGCTCCTCCCGCGTCTCCAGGGTAATCCCAGGTCGTGGATGGTAATTAAACCATGGGGCTCTCTCCGCGCTATGACCAGGCAAGCCAAGCCCTGAGGCGGCGCTGACACACCCCTTAGGCTTTACTTTGCTGCTTTGCAATACGCTGCATGTTGTTTTAGTCTTGTTCTTTCATGGTTATGTCAACGAGGCTATACAATGACACCAGAAACAGAAAGTACAATGGCAAGAAATAAACATCAATAATTAAAGCAGCTGTCGATTGACCTGTCTGTTGTGCTTTCGAGGACGTATAAACGCGAACAGAGGAGACCATGCAAAGGAACGCCATTACGTCATTATTACGCCCATGACAAGTATAAGCTATAGAAATCACCCACGTATAATCTGTTTAAGATTATTTCTGAATACAAGCTTTAACTTTTGTGACTCTAGAAACGTATCATAGTTATTTTAAATTTTAAAGGACAATATGAAATGTTCACAATATCGTAAAGCGCCTGCAATAACTCGTACAACATTCTTTATACTGTTGCACTTGCAGAAATGCACCGTAAACATTAAACATTTCGGCTCATCACGTGCAGTGTAAAATGCATAGAGCCAACTTAAGCAAAGAACATAGTACGAATATGACCTGTTATTATCATTTTTTGTAAACGTAGTACAAAAAATGTACCAAGACGTTTTCAGTTACACACAGCCATCTTGATGAGCTCAGAACATCTTCTGCTCTCATTTCTATTTGTTTGATATAATGGAAACCCGAGACAGACCACTTCCAACCATAAACACTTTGTGAAATCCACTACGCCAAGGATGAGAATGACTGGGTCCAGAGGCCCAAAGTTAATTTCGAATTTTTAGTTGGTTCACTTAACTCACACAACGCGACTTCAGCTCTTTCTTGTCGTATCTCCATTTTTTTAAACCATGAAAATGAGACATCTTTTTCAGCTCACTCTCTGTTAGGAACTGTTTTCATTGTTATTAAAAATAGAGATACGATATGAAAGCACTGGGGTTGCGACAGGCCAAACAGCTAAGCAGAAAAAAGAGAAATGTACAGTTCCATAAAGCCAAACGTTTGAGTATACTAAGGACACTGACATCTCAGCAAGCTATACACAGGTTAAGTAATATAATAATGTACAAATAGGGAATCGGAAAGATGTAAGTATATAGGGACAACGGTATAATCGTGAAAACATGTAGTGAAACAGTATATTATATTTAATTGTATGTGTTGCAACCCGGTGGAATCAGGCGCTTGTCAACTTTTGGCCATATGGTGTTATTGATATCATCTTAAAACTTGTTAATTCATCTTGCTTTTGATGAAAAAAAAAACCCATTTATCTTAAACAGACATAGAAATATTTGCCATTTAAAGAGGTGGGGGTCGCCTAGTATCAGAGGAAACATTACAGAGAAAATGGCCGCCAAAGTCTGATAACTTTCAAAGCATGGAAAACTTTGAAACTGCGCATTTACATTATTTGTAATATCAAGCTTTTCAGTAACATTCAAACAGAAATATGTTTTCAATGGACCTTAAAGGTGTTGGGGAAAAAGCAAAAAAGAAAATGAATTGCCATTGTCGGGTTCTTCTATTTCGTTATTTTGACGAGCACTTGCTTTCACCATCATGCCACAATATATATTATACACATATATACACAAATGAACAGAGGTCCTTCCTTCCGTTAATCTATTAGTCTGTTTGGGTGTCTACATGTCTGTCTCACAGTCTGTCCGTTCCCCATCTCCCACAAAGACGCACACACAACACATAAGAGCGCGTACACACACATACAAACACACACACACACACACACACACACACAACAAAACACAACACAACACAACACAACACAACACAACACAACACATACATACGTACATACATACATACATACATACATACATACATACATACATACATACATACATAC